ACTGATAAATAATAGGTCACATACTAAATAACTAAATCTATTGATTGATTTTATACATTTGATAAACTGTAATTAATTTAATTGTGTAATACTTATATAGTAGTTTGTATAGCAATTTTAAACTAACAGTTACTTATATAAATAATTTTTTGCTCAATTTACGTTACAATTTATTAACATTATATTATAGAACTATACATTTTAAATTAGTTATTTTTAGGCAGTGATTGTACCCGATCTCTAAAAAATATAGATTGATAAATAATGATTTTAGAGCATTATTATTATCATTACGAGTATATATTATTTAATAGGTATACCTACCACCAACATATTATTATTTTAAAAAATATTTGTAATTACTTATTGTCATATTTTAATATAACATTAACAGTTGAACGTAAAAGATAAAACACAGACAATTAATATTAATTTAATTGCGCTGTATTTATTTTATTTATGATTTATTAGATTTTACTATAAGTATTATATTTAAATAAGTAATAATTCAATAACTACAAATCAAGCTATGTTATAATACAGTTTCTACGATCTATATATTGGGACATAAATTTAGGTAAACAGTATCTTAGTTTAAAATCGGCAAATCATAGGTACGCGAGGGTATTGAAAATATTACGGCGGCATTTGCGTATAATGAATTATAATGATACGAATCGCACCAGACGAAAGCTCTTAGACAAATAAACAGCGCTCCCGAACGAGCACTCGTCGCCGCCGTCGGCCGGTTGCGAATTTCGAATAGTAGGCGTGACTTAAACGCCGCGCGCTTGCGGATCGTGAAAACACCTAACAGCGCATCCTCTCGGTCGTTGCATGCGTACAGCTTTGGGTGACACGTCCTCTTAAGGAATTCGAATTATAAAGAAAAACACTAAAAAAAATTAAGTGTTTATCGAAATATTGTAGTTAAATGACAAAAAAATATAAAAAACAAACATTGATCCTGTGGCGTTCGATTGTGAAAATCGACCAGTAAAGAATTAAGTGTGTTCAAAAAGTATAGATAATTCGTCGTATCTTACGAATCTGCAGTCGCAGTGAGAAAGCACCTAAAATGAACATCCGACCCGAAACCGAGTACAATCCACACACACGCACACTCATATACAGCCGTTGAGAGATATTATTATTATTATAGGTCGTACATGCAAATCATCACACACACATTTGTGTGTATAATATACATAGAAGTGTATGGTAGATACATATTATAAGAGGAGCAGGTAGTTAATACGATAATAATAGAAAGTCGTAGTCGTATACGTTAGGGTGAGTGTGTGTACGAATGTACGATACGAGGAGACGACGACGACGATGACTACGGTGACGGTAAGGGTGCGTGGGAGGGACGGGTTCGACGGCGCGGAGAGGACGGGAGGGGCGCGATTGGCGGACGGAAATTTCCGCGTACTTTAACGACTTCCCTTGTTTTGTTCGACCGGCCGCCGCCCGCGTGTTCTTATTGGTCAGCGTTCGCCGCCGTTGCCGTCTTTTCCGGCATACACCGCCGCCGTCGCCACAACTTTCTTTCCACCCCCATCACCTCATATCCGTCTGCCACTGAATCAACCCCGCTTCAAAGCCGTACAACGTTTATAAATCGTATTCGGTATTATAATTTTTTTTCGTCGGATTTTTAGGAATTCTCCACTGCAAATCGGTTTACCCCTTGGCTGGGTGGGACGAGGCAACTAAATGTACGGCCGTGTCACGTCTGTTACTTATACGCACTTGCGTGCGTACGCCGTACTCTACACCTACGAATTATAATAATAATGTTATATTATATCTTTATAAGTTTTTATTTAACACCGATAAGTTGGGAAGGGGACTATGACATAACTTCAAAGGTCTGTTTATAATTATAAAACAATGTTAATTCATATACACCTGCTGCTTTTTTTGCGAAGACGTGGGTCGATGCCGAAGATGTAAATAAAAAGATTTCATCAAACCCCCGCCCAAAAGTCGTTAAACGTAATTTTTCTTTTTTAAATATTCATAAAGTCATATGCACATGCATTTCAACAGTTTGAACTATACCTACAGTTACTATATAATAATATACATAACTCGGCTTAAGTAATGTAGATGTGGTTTTTAGTGAAACTTATAATTTTTATTTTTCATAAAGATATAGAATTAAATAATAATATAAGATAATTAATTGTATACTTAATATTACTGATCGAGATTATATGACATTATGGGTATGAGGATATAATTTATTTATCGATACAATTCCGACAGAATCGCCACTATATTTTATAATGCTATTTGTAGTACTCAAATTGGATTAAACGTGTTTGAAACCGTATACTAACAATGAGTTTAAAACTGGGCCACTTGTGAAATAATAGTTTTTCAATGGTTTATTGTACCGTGCAAGACTAGCCAACTTCAATCGCTGCGGTTCTGATGTGTTAAAAAAAATTATATAGAAAAATGGTGAAACATTTAAAAATATTTTTTAAAACTTAATATATGTGCCTAGGAAATGTTTGATTCTTAAAATATTTATCTTGGCATTACTTTAATGTAAGTACACTATACGAGTCATGACATCTACCGGAGAAACGGAAATTGTGAACTCTGTCGATCCGTTGAATAATATTATAAATGAATAAAATTATCTTTTATTACACTTACAAAAACAAAGGTGATTTAATTTCCATACAAATAATTATACTTCTAAGGGCCACCTTTTTTTCATTTGAAAATAATAGATCAGCATACAATATCTTAAATGTCTGAAATTACCATATTGTAAATTAAAATGAAATACAACTCCTAGAGCGCGCCACTGATACATACAATGTTCAGTATTATGGAATAATATGATATATAAACTACCCTCCGTCTGATGTAATTCGTATTATAAATTTATAAAATACAGTATAACGCAACAAATATATTTATTTTACAAATAATATATGTTACTAAAAAATTTGTATTAATTGTTCGCCAGAAAAAAGTATTAAGTTACATGTTTTTTATGTAGTATTGTATAAAATAATATATTAAGTTACATAAGTTATATATAAGATTAATACCTAAAATATTATGAAAAAAAATTAATAATTCCTTTTTACACATTAATTTTATTTACGTCCAGTTATTTATTTAAGGTATTAGCTAAAATAATGTCCTTAAAAATACTTAAAAATTACAAATAGGGCTTTTTTGAGTTTTAACGAAATAACGATGCCAAGAATGTAGCAAGCTGCGTTAGGCATTTCTCAGTGAAAATTACTCTAATAGACTACAATTTTGCAATAATCCGTAGCTATTGGATGTAAAAGGTAAGTCATTTAACAATATAATATATTATATTATGTTCATTAAAATTTCTTAAAATTGATAATATGGCGATGATTGGTGGGATTTTAATTTAAAAAAAACATTTTTAAAAAAATAATTCAAAAACATAACGGTTTGTTATTTCAAATATTTTAAAATGTAAACGCGATCTTCTAAAACAACAATATTAAGTGCTTATTTTGCTAATAGTTTTAAATTATCATTTTTTTTTATATAAAAATATAAAAAGTACTTAAAACTTTTATTAATAAAAATGTAGGTAGGTATATTGAAAACTTTATTCATAAATGTAATTTACAATGTTATCTATGAAATAGGGTGCAAAAATATTTGTAATAGTCACAAAAGAAATCACCAATATTATAGTCTCTATTTTAAGCTATATTTTAGTTTATAATATTATATTTTCATTCCTAAGTTTATTTAAAATGGTTAGTACGTGTTTGCTTGAAAGTTGAAATTAAAAATAATTAGTAAATACACGAATACCTACCGCACTATTATTTTTTTTTTTATAGTACCTATATATATTAAGGTTTATCGTATCTGTTAAATGTAATTTACATATGATGAGTATTAATGAATTTTTAATAAAATTGTTAATTAAATAATGTAGTAGGTAATCTATTGTATAAAAAATGAAAAAAAAAATAGTATCCATGTATTATTATTGTGTGTTATTTGTTTATTTTTATTGTAAACTTTGCGAAATTATAAAAGTTTTTAATAATTTATTCATTAAAAATTATTGAATTAAAAACAATACAAACACAAATAATTTTGTTCGCACAGTTAGCGGTTGGTTACGTTTTTTTTTTTAAAGATTAGGGTATTAGTTAACTTGTCCCATAATAATGTTAATATTGGTCTTAACGAAAAAAAATGTTTGACACTGACCTTCTTACTTTATTATTGTTACAAAAAAAAAAACAAAACCGGTTCTTCCCCTTTTGATTGTTAAGAGATTCGTTTGTATTCAGCACCTAGCACATTATGACAATGTCAAAAATGTTGAGTCGTAAAATCAAAAAAGAATTATTGTTTTGAATATTAAAAAAAAAAACTTTGATTGCTTTTTATTTCTTTTTTTGTCACGTGTCTAATAAATAGGCTGTTTATTATATTTTGAAATGAGAGGTGGTACATAAATATAATATATTTAAAAAAATTATTTAACGTTATTTTCCAAGTAAACAAATTTTCACAATAAACTCAAAGCAGTTGCACCGCGAACATTTATTTTTATTTTTACCAGAACAATAAAATATATTAAAATAAAAAAAAAAGATCACTTACTCGACTGATGGATTATTATGATATATAGTGGACAGCGTGTTGCGGTCGGCCGACGGCGAGAGTAACCTGCAGCTTTGTCCGATTTTTCACCAATACTGCGGCGAGCGAGTAGACGATAGAAAAACAAGTTTAAAAAAAAGTTTAAAAAAAATTTAAAAAAAATTAAATCAAAAAACCGAACGAAAATAAAAAATATATTGTCGACGAAATGTTATAGCAGACGGTGGTAGAACGCTGAGTGTACGAGCCCGCGAGTTGTCGACGGAACGAAAAATAAAAATAATAATATTAGTGATACGAGTTTGTGGTGTGTAATTGTTTTAGCGGGATCACGCGAGCGACGGAACGAGAAGACGACGATGTGCCGGCATTACGTTCGCGGACCGAGTGAGAGACTACCGCGGCACTTAAGACTTACGCCGCCGCCGGTGTTGGTAGTGGCGGCGGCGGCGGTGGCGGAGTTCGCCCGACTTTGGCGCCCAGCGACAAGACGCGCGCGGCGCCACGGAGGGCTTTACCCGCAGCTTTTCCGGGCAGGCGCGCTGTGTAAAAAAGCCGCCCCAAGAATGAGACATGTGGACAGGCGGTGCTGGTGCGCGGGCGGCGGCGGGATGGCTGTCGGGCGCCATCTGCCTGACCGGTCGTCGGCCGCGCGAAAACGCTCGTCCCTGATGACCTAACCGCCTGGCTAGCAGCCGCGCCAGTGTCCAGCGCTACGCTCAGAACGCCGTGGTCGCGACTTTTCTGCGCCGACCTATCGTCAGGAACGTGACGATAATAATAATAATGCATGAATGATTCTATTATTATAATAATATTATACTATAATAATAATTTATTTTAGAACTACAATAATATTATTGTTATTAAAATATTTAGAATTCGAAGAAAATTCGTAATCTAGATTTCATTTTTTTTCCGTCTTACATCGTTTCAACATAAGAAAATTTGGTTATGCAGATTCAATTTTGTGTTAGATGATAGGTCAACCTATTATCAAACTTAATTTAAGAAGTTAGAACATTATCAGCTTTTTACTTTTTAAACTATACTTCAATTTTTAAAATATTGCAATTTAAAAATGATCATAGGTAACTCATAATTTATTAAAAAATCATAAAAATATCGATGTACTTACTACCTACATACAAACGGATTATATTCTAAACTTTGAATTAAATACCTACCAATTTAAATGATAGCCGATAGTCGATAGTCGATACCTATGTCAATAATAAACAATGCCATCTATAGTATTAATTCTAATTTCTAACACAACATTGGTTCAACTGAACTCAAACTAGCTAAGTTTTTAGGTTTTTTTAAGACGGTGACAATACGTATGTGCGTGTAATGTCCTCTTAACACCGGTAAGATTGCCATCTTTCGCAAGAAAGAAATAACTATAATATGTAAAGGTTCTAACCGAGACAGACACAGTTATGCGGGGCTTATAAAGCAGGAAAGCATGCATTTTGCACGTACGTATAGTTATATTATAACACAAGAGGTTATTGGAGAACAATATATAATATAAAGACAACCGCGATATTTGCTTTCAACTAAAGAGTTTCTACCCTCCAACCAATACACGAGTGTTTATTTTTTCCGTGTTTAGGATGTGTGTGTGTCCGTGTGTGAAACATATTTTTCGAAAAGGCAGACGAGATTATTTTATAGAATTTGACATATTTTTAAATATTCAATTCGAGTGTTAAATAATATACTCGTATAATATATATTTTCTTTAATATATCCTGAAAACCATGTTAGAACAAATTAATCGAAATTCGTGTGAAAATGATGTAATACTAATTACTATATCTCACAGTGTCCGCCCACTATTGGATAAGGTTCATCATTACGCATCTTCGTATCGGTTTTTTTTTACAATTTTTGTAAGCGATAAGGTTAACCAATTTTAGTATAATATAATATTATACTCATATTGTTTCCTGAATATTTGCAGAAAACCACGTTAGATTAATTTTATCCAAATTAGCATGCAAATTATGTGATACTATTGCACATTGTCCGCCCACTATTAGATTAGGTACATCATTACGCTTCTTCGTATCGTATGGTTTTATTTATTTTTTTTTACAATATTTTTAAGCGATAAGTTCGACTTTAATATAGTATAATATTATACGCTATTATATCCGGAATCCAAACGAGTGAATATCGAGCGAGCCAAAGGATATTTTAATATCTATAATATTTATTATTTACAATATAATAAGTCATCACGTCTACAAAACTTTTTCGTTTATGATTTTTTGATTAATAATATGTATTTATATTCTTTAGCTGAACGTGAAATATTAGAAGATTTATTTCTTTAAAAACTGCTAAATATTTATCTGTTCGACAACTGCATTACAACAGTTAAATATTATAATACAATGACATATAGGTAGTAGGTAATTATCCAGTGGCGTAGCAAGGATTATTAAAAGGGGGGGGTTGAGTATAAATCAAACCAAGCTTTTTAAGGTTTTCGTATACAAACAATATATTTATTAGATGAAAAAATGTCAATGGTTGGGGGGGGGGGGGGGGGTAATAAGCAAAACCTCCCCTGTATACCCCACTATAGGTACCTATGCCTATACATATTTCGTTACTTACAATAATTGTATTATAATATTATACTTTTGTTTAACAACAAGAGAGATTAATTTCTTCACCTAACAAAAAAATACAATATTTTCAATTTTTAGTTTTTAATTTTTAATTTTTAAAGTTACACAACTAATTTTACACCAACCTCGTATGGAATCGCTAGCAACAATGTCATGCGTTGAGAAATCGTCACCGGACACTTAAAATTGATATGTTTTGATGTATACCTACTCGGTGATTATAATTATATAATTATATAATTAATCAGCTCATTTATATACGGTTTTCTTTCAAGTTTAAACTATACTAAAATAGATAAAAAAATATATGTATGACCATGGGCGATCATCTACTTTATATAGGTATATAACATAGGTTATATGTTGTATCAGTTATAGGTATATCACTGTTTTTTTGAAAAATATTTATATGATAATTTATTTGCTTAATTATATTGGATACCTGTTATTAATTATTATAATAATACAGTTACAATATTATAATATATTTAATAACAGTTACACACATACTTGGTGATTTTGAAAATATACCATTTCCTCTAAAAAGATATTTAATGAAACGTACGTTTGGTATATTATATTTTATATTAATATATCCATGCTTAGTGCATACTTAGCATGATTATCTGGAAGCTAAATTTTACCTATAACCTGGAATTATTTTAGTTTTACAATAATTAATAATTATTATTCATAAAAATATGTATGTATTTTAAATAAATATAATCACTGGTTAAAATGTAAAAATTTTAAAATTATAGTATGTAATGACCTGGGTTATGAGCTTTCATGTTTCAGTATAATAATTAATATAATATCCCCATGTACCCGATAAATGGACTTTTTGTGTATTCAGCTTTTGATCACATTAAGGATTTTTTGGATTTTTGGATTGAATTATTTAAATTTTTGTTAATTTAATTTGATTATAGATATTTTAAATGCATTTCTGACATCTGTCCTATAGAATAATTTTTATATAAATCAATATTACCTAGGTATATAATATTGTAGTCATAATATAATATTTGATCAGATTAAAATATGATTAATCAAACTGACAGTATTCAGAAGTACATACATATTATTTAATATATTCTAACTGAGTTTTGCATTTACATATCATTTTTTTATTACATTTCTAATGTTTTTTTATAAATAAGTTTTTTTATTTTTACATTTAAGTAACTTGATAAATAATGTTAACCAAATATTTATATTTATCATATTATTAAGTTTATATTTAAATTAAATATGTTCATAGCAGGAAACTTTAAAGGTTGATAGTTAATTTGTTTATTTTGTACATTTCTGTTTATATGAACTATGAACTACGTGAGTAAATGTGTAGCTAATAAAATAAGTAATGTGCTTTAAAAAAAAATAATTATTTGATTTAAAAACGTGTAATATCATATTTCTAGTTTCAGACAATGCGTAATAGAAGTAAATACGTAATAGATTTATTGTTGTGTTAATGATATTGTAATATTATTGTTTTTATTGGAATGAATCGATCGTCTTAGTGTAAGGGGACCCATATAGGCAACCTCAAGACTTTTGTGCCATATAAGCCGCATATACACGGAGCTGTTGTATGCGAATCACCCTATTGTGAAGTCACCCTTGACTGGTAATTCAATATCCGCTACTTAGCTGTCTTCGTTTACCACCATTTCCGGTTAAAATGCAATCCCTACCCGAAATTCTAACGTAACTATGTATAAATACCTATTCATATAATATTATACGTATTGTTATGGTACAATTATATTATGAATACAAAATGTTTTATCAAATAAATAAAAAAAACAGTTTCCATAGGTTTCTTCAAAAAAACGAATAAAAACTACAATTTATTTGTACAATTGAAGGTATATTTTACGAAATACAGTATTTTTATATGTTTCAAATTTCCATCAACTTATTGTCAATAATTGATATATACGTTATCTTAGCCATAGGCGTGCGCACAGGGGGTGCCGGGGGTGCCTGGGCACCCCCGAACCCTTCACCAGTAACGATAAGGGCCCTAATTATCAATTAAGTGTAAATTAAATTAATTAAATTATTGACGAATTCAAAAATGTTGTTCCTTTTAAACGTCGATTATCATTAAAAGATTGTATATCTATATATTGCTATGTAATATTTATTAGAATGAATAATAAAATAAAACAAATTTTTTTAGTGCATTTGATATCTTTAAAACATTTGTCTGTATCTATAATTGTTTTCAAAATTATTGTGGGCCCTAATTTTTAGTGTGCACCCCCTATGAGTACGCCTATGATCTTAGCCGATTCAATAAGAAAAAAAAGGTGGGCAAGTGGGTGTCACTCCGCTGTACAGTAGGTTACAAGTGTTTCACTGTATAATGGATGATATTAAATTTGAATTCAACGATATAATATCATTGTATAAGAAAAACGATTCTGAGCGAAGACGGTATGTCAGTCTAGGTGTAAGACATATTATATACTTATCTATGGTATTAAAAAAAATTGACCTATAATGAATTCCAAATTAATCATATCACAATATCCATTAGGTACTTATAACGCGTTATACACCAACAACAAACCCTGATACTATCATAGATATTATATAATAGTGTACTTTAGAAGTTTCAAGTATCCACGAATAATATTATACAATCACCACAAAAGAACTAAAATAGTTATTCTAGGTTTTTTATTACGTAATTTCGTCCAAATTTGAATTTAAAATGTCTGTAAAAAATAACTGTGTTCATATATTTTTTAGATTTTTTTGTTACATTATGAACTATTTATAAGAATCTTTGTTTTGAATTTGCAATCCTTAGCTATAAAAACTGAACATTTTATAATTTATTAATTACAATGATTGATAATTTTCGATTAATTTTGATAAATTTTATCAAAATTTGATCTTTAAATGCTTATAAAAAAAAATTGTGCCTATGTATTTTTAATATATTTCAATTGCTATTGTAACAATATATCAGGAGCCTTGTATTAAATTTTTACACTTTTTGGCCCAACAGATAAGAC